ACGTTGATCGACATGTCTACCCTCACGATTGAGGATGTGACTGGGCGCTTGCGGGCAGTGGATGACCGCGTGGAGACGGCGACGATATCTACCAGCGGCAAGTTACTACTGACAGAGGAAGAATGGGCAGCTCGTATGCGCGAACGGCGACCCGGGGAAGGCTCCTCCAGCCGTGGCGGCTACGGCAAGCGCCGTGGCAAGGCCCCGCAGAAGAAGGACGGCAACAACGCGCGTCCGATCGACAAAGACACTTGTCGACGCTGCGGGAAGACTGGGCACTGGGCCCGAGATTGCAAGATTCTCAAGAAGGAGAAAAAGGAGGCGCACCTCGCGCAGGTGGACGATGAGGAGCCATCTCTTCTCATGGCGAAGTTCTGCACGTCGCACGACGTCGAGCCAGAGTTAGAGAAAGTCAAGGCAGTGGCTGCGGAGCAGGGAAAGGCACTGCAGGCAGTTCACCTCGACGAGTCGAGTGCTCAAGTCCACCTTGGACGAATGGGCGGTGGCATGGAGCAGAGGTGGTACCTGGACTCCGGCGCCAGCAACCACATGACCGGCTCCAAGGAGGCCTTCTCCGAGCTTGATGACGGCGTGACGGGGACGGTGAAATTCGGCGACGGCTCGAAGGTGGAAATTCGAGGTCGCGGCACTGTCATCTTCCGGTGCCAGAACGGCGAGCACCGCGCATTGACGGATGTGTACTATATCCCGCAGTTGCGTTCAAGCATCATCAGAATCGGGCAACTGGATGAGCACGGCTGCGAGGTGCTTGTCAAAGGCGGCGTGCTAAAGCTCCAGGACCAGGAACAGCGGCTGCTGGCTAAGGTCCAACGTTCCCGGAACCGCCTCTACCTCCTCGACTTGAAAGTGGAGCAACCTGTGTGCTTGGCGGTACGGCACACTGAGGAGCCATGGCTATGGCATGCTCGTTCGGCCATTTGAGCTTTGACGCACTCGGTCGGTTGAGGAAGATGGTGCGCGGGCTCCCGCACATCGAGCACGTAGGCGAGCTGTGCGATAGCTGCTTGGCAGGGAAGCAGAGGCGGCTGCCTTTTCCAAAGGCGGCCAAGTATCGTGCGGCGGACGTCCTTGAGCTCGTCCACGGCGACCTCTGCGGGCCGATCACGCCGGCTACGCATGGCGGACGGCGCTACTTCTTGCTGCTCGTGGACGACTGTAGCCGTTTCATGTGGTTGCAGCTCTTGACGAGTAAGGATCAGGCGGCGGAGGCAATCAAGCGTTTCCAGGCGCGGGCTGAGACAGACTAGGAAGCGGCTGCGCGTGCTAAGGACGGATCGCGGTGGCGAGTTCACATCGGTGGAATTCGCCGCGTACTGTGCAAATCAGGGGGTAGTGAGACATCACACTGCGCCGTACACACCGCAACAAAACGGCGTAGTAGAGCGGCGGAATCAGACCGTGGTGGGCATGGCTCGAAGCATGATGAAGGCAAAGGGCATGCCTGCGGAGTTTTGGGGAGAGGCTGTAAGCACGGCGGTGTTTGTCCTCAACCGCGCACCCACGAAGGCCCTGAAGGGCATGACACCATTCGAAGCTTGGCATGGCAGGCAGCCCGACGTCTCGTTTCTGAGGACCTTCGGGTGTATTGGCCATGTGAAGAAGACGAAGCCCTTCCTGTCCAAGCTTGAGGATAGGAGCATACCGATGGTGCTCCTAGGCTACGAGGAGGGGAGCAAGGCCTATCGGCTCTACGATCCACGTGGAGGCAAGGTGGTGGTCTCGCGGGATGTGGTGTTCGACGAAATGGCGACCTGGGATTGGGAGAATCCTGGCACGGGGGAAGCCCGTGGCGTCGGCGGTACGTTTGTCATCGAGCATTTGGTGATCCACGGAGGAGGAGATGGGGGATCAGAGGAGCCAGCTGCGGACGCGCCAAGTCCAACAACTGTGGTTGCATCAGTTGAGCCGCAAAGTCCGGCCATGGGTACGGGTGAAGAGTCTCCACCAGCAGCTG